ATAGTTGCATCTACTGTAAGGAAAGTTGAGTCACCGTGTTGTACCAGAAAAGTTTTCTTATCAGAATCCAACTTGCACATTTACAAATCTACCATTTGTCCGTGCATTGAATACTACTGCCATATCTGGTCTGGTGCTTCTGTTGTGCATCTCGAGATTGTTCATAAAACCCAATGAAGGATCTGTAATGTAATCAATCCCAAACAGGCATCTTGACTTCAGTTACTTTCTCACTGATATGACATCACTCTGTCTTTTATACAAATATTTTCACAATAACTGCTCTGATGAGCTGTTTTACCTGGTGCTCTGAATACATGAATTTAAGTATGCTACTAGATTGGCAACTAGGTCCTACCCTTTTACTGCTGAAATAGCTAGATGCAACAACCACTTCTACACCAAATGTTAATTTTCTCACACTTCCCACCTGTGGAACTCTTTTTTGATTCCTTGCTTTCCTGATAGCAACAATCTACAAAAATTTAAATGCAATGTCAATTGCCATCTTCTGTCTTCTTGAACCACTTTCATTTTTCGTCCTTTCCTCAATCCTCACTATTCTCAATCTTCTCTTACACTTATGCTCCCTGTAACCCTCTGTGTAATAGTGGCATTACTACCTTGCTGTACATGATTATATATATATATATATATATATATATATATATATATAAAGTGTTTATAACACTTTTGAACTCTACTTTGTGCAATAAGAATGTATAATTGCTCTCTAAGCTTAACAGTAGATTCGTGATGAACTAGATCATAAATGAAAATGATATTTTCATTATTAATTAATCATAGTTAAGGATTAGAAGCTTATTAAATATTGAAATAAAGTTCACATATATATATATATATATATATATATATATATATATATATATATTATTCCAGGATCATTTTCCAACATATTCAAGATGATCTTCACCCTTTCTAACCTTCTAACTTTCTGTCCTGGAGTAAAAACAGGTTTCATGTACAATTTCATTTTCAAGTCTTTTTTCACTGCTCTTTGGACTGTCATAGTTGCAACTCCTCTCACATCTGCCAAACGTCTTATGAATTGAGTTGGATATGTTTTAATTGATCTATTTAGCTCTAAATAGAAATGATGAACCCTTTTCTTGTTGTGACCTCCTGATCCAGTTTTTCTCTCTACTGTTCTCTCCTTTTTAAACTTATTCACCATTTACTTGGTGGTTCATGAATGGACTTTGAAGATGGAAGCCAGAATATGAATGTTGATACCATTACTGAAGGCCTGAATGATCTTTTTCCTCTCACCATTGCTCAGTCAGGAAGACAGTGGGTCTGACACAAAACAATTTTAACCTGCTCTATTTTTAGCTGAATAACTATATATATATATATATATATATATATATATATATATATACATACAGTGGAACCTCAACTTACAAATTTAATTCATTCTAGGAGTGAATTCATAACTGGGAATTTAATATATCAAAGCAATTTTCTCCATTTAAAATAATAGAAATGAATTAATTTGTTCCAAGCCCCCAAAAACATTGATATAAAAATCATATTTTATGCAAAATTAAAGTGCTTTCATAAAGAGTATACACAAATAATATAAATAAATATATCACTGTGACTCCTTCCCAGGCTTTATTAATGAGATTTAAGCAGTTTGGGATATTGAAGTGATCCTTTCAAAATTCTCTTAGGGTCAGGTTTGTATTTTTGGTCACTTCAAAACACCTCTGAAACAAGTCAGCTTCATCCGTGCTCTCAGCCTCTCCTCTGGCAGTTCTCTTTTTAAATTTTTCAAATTATCCTCAGCTTACCTTAAATGAATTTTCATCTTCAAAAGACGTGCCTGGTATTTTTCCTATAAGATTCACATATGATGCCCTTACCTTTGCACTTGTGATATCTTCAGGCACAAAATCACCTCTTAGCTGCCTCTCTCATTTATCCACACCAACAACAGCTTCTCAACATCTTCTACAGCTTTTGAATGATGCTTGGTAATTATGCTAACTCCCTTGGCTACATCAAGCTGTTTTTTTTTATTTCTATCTTTAGGATAATGCAAATTGCTGTTGCTGAATGTCCATATAGATTGGCAAAGTCAGAAACATGGGTACCTTCTTCATGCTTCTGAATGATCTCCTTCTTTATTTGCATGGATATTATTTCCCCTCCTCTTAGTTACAACCAGCTTCTACAAAAATTACCAAATACTATCCACTAAAAGTTAAAATTTATTGTACATGTACAGCAATATTTACAATAACACATTAAACTGTTCAGTACAGTAAATGCATGGGAAAATATAAAGAAACAAACTGCAGTGATGAAACATACAAATCAACTTGAACTGGATGCGGAGTTTATTTTACTGCATAATTTACGTGCTTTCATACATTTTATTTTATTCTAATTAAACTTTATAATCTTTTTTACATTTTTTTACTGTACTGTATTGATATCAATTTAAAATTCAATGATTAAACACTGTATATTAGACTAAAACACACTTTACATTACATGGAGATTAAACGAAATGGACTCAGCATTGTCACATTTTACTTACTTTTAAGTCAATAAATTTTTATAAAATTTACCTTTTCTTGTATTGTACAATAATGTGCATATATGGTATTCATTACTATACATAAATTTTTGCACATTATTAAATTTTTTACACTTATACTAATATAATCACAAATATGTGTACACTGCAAATGTTTATTCTATGAGGTAACAAAGAGTACTGAATGGGATGATGTAGTGCTTGTAGCATTACACTACACCTAATGTGATAAAACTGTATAGAAATATGCATTGTATAATAATATAATACAGTACTGTATAAAAATATATTATAATAATACACACTGTATATAAAACAAAAATATAAGAATAAAAAATACAGTCTAAAATATATCTACAAATTTAGTAGAGTAGGGTACAGTATAAAAATGTATTGTAATACTGTATAATACTACAGTATTATATTATTAAATATAAAATATATAATAATATAATATGTAAAACATAAAAATATAAAATACTGTATATTTAGATAAGATTAAAAATTATTTATGATATGTTTATATCAAATATCTAGTTTGAAATGCAATGGCGGGAAACCCTTTCTTAATTTTGTAAGTCAATATTAACTTGTAAGTGGAAATAAATTTTTGTTCATATGGCGAGTTAATTCATAAGTGGAGGTGTTCGTAAGTGGAGGTTTCACTGTATATATATATATATATATATATATATATATATATATATATATATATATGTATGTGTGTGTGTATATATATATATATATATATATATATATTTTTTTAAAAAATATATGTTTCCATCGCGACACAGAAATTACTATGTTTTGAGACCAAAACTTAAATTTTAAATTAAAATTAACCTGAAAATTTGAAATTTCTTTCTATTTTCAAACGATGCTGAGAATAAATTAAAAAAAAAAATTGATTTACTCTATTTATAAGCCAAATAGTATTATGTATTTTAAGTTGGTGGGGTAATGAGAATTCAGAATTTTTTATTAAGGGGGTGTTGGCTTTTTTGATGAATGAAATCCAAGTATAATTTTTATGTGGCAAATTGAAAGTCAGTTAAGTTTAGGTGGAGGTTAATGATTTCTGTCTGTTGATATTAACTTCCTCTTATGTGGAATTGTCATTAATGTCTTGTTTTTTTTTTATTTTGAGTTAGAATACAATACATTTGGCATTTATATTTATTTTTTTATTAATTTTCATATATTCTGAAACTACATCGAGATTTTCTTAAAGAGGTATTCAAATATGATTAAGTCATATTATTTATATTTATATTTTAATTTATAAAGATCTGAAATATTTATTTTATTTAGTAATAAACAATATATGGTATTGTAAAATAAAAATATTAGAATTTAATTACACATTTATAAATTAATTTATTTAGGATCAAATAATAGATATATAATTATGAAAATTATTTTATAATTAATTATTTTTTAAGGAAAATATGAGACAATGTATACAAAAAACTGCTATTTCATTTCATTGAATTAATAAGTTTTTATTTTTCAGAAACTTAATATAAACTGTTCATGTAGGCACAAAGGACATGGGTCATTTAAAGATCTACATTTTTTTTTTTTTTATTAGTTTCCATTTTACTATTGGCATTTTATTTGTTTCTTTTAAATGCCAAAAATATTTGGATAGGGATGTTTGGTTGTGATACTTAATATTATTCAAGGAAGTCAGATGTTGTCTCCATCTTAATATAAATTCATTCTTAGTACATCCTATATAGAATTTATCAACATTAGGATTCTCAATAGATGGGATAGTGCATTGATAAAGTATAGATTCTGTGAGACAATTATTATTCAAAGGACAATTTTGAGAATTTCTACAGTTCGATAATTTATCTTTACTATTGTTTATTCTTATTTCTGGATCACTATTTCTTTGATTCAGGCTTAAGTATTTATTCAAGATTTTGTTATTATGTTTTTTTTATAATCTTTTCTAAAATTTCAGTACAACTGCAACTTAATTTTAGGGCATTTTTTATTAAAAATTTTGCTAAGTGTATTATTTCTATGAAGCAAGAAATTTAAGTCCTAACTTACTACTGAACATTTGGTTAAATGGGTGGGGGTGTTCCAAATGATTTTTCTATTTCTGTTTCTTCTCTGGTTTCTATTATCATTTTTTATATAATTGATGTTAGGGCATTTATAGCCACTATTCTTTATAGATAGATAGATAGATAGATAGATAGATAGTGAGAGGGATGTGTGTATTTAAGTAAGTATTTATATATATAATAGTGTGCATGTTTTGACCAGAATTCAAAGTGGATCTTATGAACATTATCCACAGAATGGATCTAAAAACATTGTTTTAGTTCTAAGAGTTTGTATGTACCCAAGAACCAAAGTCTCAACCTTATAAGAACCATTTGAAGAATATTGCTACCAAGTTAAAAGGTTCATTCTATTTCTGTCTGTAAACATTTAGCAGAAATGTTGCAACATTTTGACAGGAATTTAGAAAGAGGAAGCAGGGACAAGAAAGAGAGGAGAAAGAGTTAAAAAGAGAGAATATATGAAGAAAGGAGAGAGAGGAATGTAGAATGAAACAGAAAGAGAAGAAGGGAAGGAAGAAAAAATGTGGATATAAGAAAGAGTGTGAAAATGAAGAGAAAGCAAAAAAGATCAAAGAAGAAAATGAGAGTGACAAGGGAAGTGATAATAAGGAGAGAGGAGAAGAAAAAAGATATGTGAGAGACAGAGAAGAAGGAAGAAAGAGAAAGTTTAAAAAAAAGAAAGGTTCGAGAAAAGAAAGAATGAGGAAAGAAGTAGGAGAGAGGAGTAAAGAAGAAAGAGGGGAAAGAAATAAAAGAGATGGTAGAGGAAAGAAGAGAGAGAGAGAGAGAAAAGAAGTGAAAGGAGGGAGAGGACGGAAGAAGAGTAGGGGGGTGAGAAACATGGAAACCAATGAAGAAAGATGAAAAAAGAAAACCCAAGTTAGACAGAAATACAAGATGGTGCGAAAAGAAGAGAAAGTAAAAGAGATTGATGAGGAAGAATAAGAGAAGAGTGGAATGTGAGAAAGAGGAAATTAAAAAAAGGACCAAAAAAAGAAAGGGGGAAAAAGGAAGAAAGAGAGAAGAAGAAGACAGAAAAAAGAAAAGTTAAAATAAAAAAGAAAAAGAGAAAAAAGAACAAAGAATAAAAGAAAATTGCAAAAAAAAGAAAGTGGAAGAAAGAGCAAAAAAAAAAGAAAGATAGAAGTGAAATGAAGATAAAGGGGGAGGAAGAAAGAGGAGAAAGGGAGGAGGGAAGGAAGGAAAGGAAACAAGAAGAGATGAAGTTGAATTATGTTTGGAAAAGAACAGCAAATGTGAGAAAAAGTAAGGCAGAGAAAGAGAAAAAAAGAGGTAATGAGAAAGTGTAATGTGAAATAGAGAAGGAAAGAAAATGAAAATAAAGAAAGAAAGAAAACTAAAAACAACAAAGGAAGAGGAACAATGAATTGGAGCAAGGAGGAAAATGAAGACAATAACATATTGTGCAAATTAAATGCAGAATTAAAACCCAACAGGAGGGCAAGGCAGAAAACAACAAAATATAAAGTAAAGAATGCAAAAAAAAATAACATTTGAAAAAGTGAAACAAATAAAACATAACCTCCCCCACCCTCTTTTATATGCCCAGGTTAAATTTGTCACCCCTAAAACTTGATGCATGTGCAAATACATGCAGTGATATGAATATCATCAAATAGCATTTCACTATTATGTTCTATTCTTTCTACTTGTGTTCAGATTGCAAACGTAAAATACATAAATTCTCCTAAATATCTCTTCTCTCTATTATTTGGTTTGAATGAAGAGCAAGTGTTATATTTTAAATATGGAATTGTTTCACAGGAAATTAATTATGAATCTGAAAATAAAATACTATATTTTAAAAGATAATTTGGTTCTTTGACTCTTTCCTAACAGGTTTTGGCATAAAAATAGATTCCCCTCTTTATAAAACATTGCATTTTAAGGAGCTAGGAAATATTTCAGCACCCAAACTAATGACCATTCTGATTTTTGATGTTTTAAAATTTATTTTGGATGAAAAACCCTAATGACAAAGAGAGAAAATGCAAATCTGATTCAATTTAAAATTAATGTTATTCTATTGCAAAGGAATATTCAATTTGTTTTTGCATAAATTTTGAGGAATAAACAATTTATGCTGAACAATTGTTCTACATACATATAGTGTGCATTTGCTACTTTTTACTCAATGTTCACCCACTACAAGGCACAAGAGCCACTCAAAGTAGAGGGTTACTGAATGAATTTGTATGGATGTAAGTGGAGGAAATATGTGTGTGTACTTATGTGCGTATGCTTGTGTGTGAGAATATTTTTGTATGTGAATATTTGTGTGTGTGTTTTTGTATGTTTGTGTTCATGTATGTTAATGTGTGTGTGTGTATTCCTGCATACATTTGTTTATGCATGTGCTTGTGTGTGTGTTCATGTGTGTGCATATATTGGTGAGTTTTGTGCATGTGTGAGTTTGTGTGCATATATGTGTGAGTTTTGTGCATGTGTGAGTTTGTGTGCATATATGTGTGATTTTCGTGTGTGTGTGTCTGTGCATTTTTATTACTAGTTTACTGATGGCATAAAAATAATGACAAACATGAACTTTGCTCTTCCATGGAGTTGACTTTGCTTAATAAACATTGTGGAAAAGTCTGCCATTGTCATAACAAAGACACTGCCATCTGACGTCACCAGTGGAAAGTAGATAATTCCTATACAGCAAAAACTTACAGATATTATGAACAAAAATCTTACAAATGTATTTTGCATATTATAGTTAAGATGTTTTTGTTTTATCTGAGATGACTTCTGAATAGAAAAATAAAATCCAACATTTTGAAATATTCTGCCACAATTCTTAAACAAAATCTATGCCATTTGATTTTATGACAATTTCACAATTGAAATTATCTCATCTTGATAAAACTCTCTACTTTTAGAGGATAAAAAATATTTGAACAAAAAATAATGGCAATCTGATAGATCATTTAAAAAATTTTCAGTAGAAAACTGAAAATGTTGAAAAAGATGATGTTATTGTCTCATACAGACTAGTGAAAACATGAAACTTAATATTTCATACGTAAAATTACTGTTTATTTCACTCCAGGCTTCATTAGTTACTGTTGGCCTGTAGGTGTGTAGCCATGGGCCTTCTTCGAACATGGAATCTCCATATTTGTGTGTGTGTATCATGCTCATATATCTGTGACTGGTTTTTCCCATGTGTGCACATCCTAAGCACAGTTGTGTTGACAACATGTGTACTTGTCAGTTGATAAGCTTGTGAGGTGTATATCTGTACTTAGTGTCTCCCAGGTCAACTTGGTTTCTCTGATGTCATGCCACATGCAAAATATCTTCTGGCATCATCTGGGATGAGCGACATAAAATTATGATGGTGACGGATTAAACAAGAGGATGATCTAAAACTTCATCTCCTAAGTGCCTCAGCTTTGCTATACTGATTTATGACACTTTTAGTCAGACATTATCATTATCTGGACATGTTGCCAAAACATTTTAGGATTAAATTATTTACATTGTTCAGACTGTTGTCCTCATCTTTATTGCCATATTCATGATGTTTTGTGTGCGGTACGCTTTGACCTTCTTCAGGTGATTGGAATTTAAAAATGAACCCTTTAGTTTGTCCACCGGGGTAGATTGTTCTAGTGCCTCTTCCAGATGTCTCAGTTATCTCCCTTTAACTCAACTTTTGTTCACCACTGCATTAGCCAGGTATTGAACTCACTGGGCCATATGTCCTTGAGGTCACATGGCTCAGTTGATAAAAGTGTTGGTTGGATCCAATGACTTGACCGACAGAGATGTGAGTTCAGCCCAGGTTTCACCGTTTTTTATCTAGAGCATGCAGGCTTTGACCCAAAAAGAAACCTCAGTGGTGCAATTTTCATTTGGGAGGTTGAAGATGTCAGTCCAAGGGGTATCATGGAGAAAATCACAAAGTGAGTTCCAAACAGTATGCAGGTAATGGGAAAAGGTCTTGTGGAAATGGAGTTCCTGTTTAATAGAGGATTGGAACAAAATACCAATAGCTACCACAAAGTGGTCAGAATTATCAAGAGGGCAGTGCTGCAGGAGAGGAGGTAAAAAATAAATCAAGTAGAGAAGCATGTTTCTCGGTTTTGCTAGGGAAACGGGTAAGGAAATCCATGATTTGAGTAAGGGATTGGGCAATAGAAAAATTTAATGTCTGAACGCTGGCAACATCAGTGCCTTTAGAATGTTTAAGCCATGTGTTGTGTTGAGCATTAAGGTCATCAAAGATGTTTGCAGATGGATGAAGAGAAAGTGCATTTTCTATACTGTCAGCTATTGTGTTTAATATACTGTAGTCCTGGGAAGAGATAGAGCAATAAAAGAAAAAGAGATAGCTAACAGAGTTTAGTAATGAAAGATGGAAACACATGAAGCAGTGGTCTGGAGTCTTGAGAGAAAATTCCCTGGCCATCGGAAGATTATCTCGGATGTAAACACCAAGGCCATGCATGTGAAAGCTGGAATCTTTTTGGCAGAGGGGAAGATAGCCTGGAACCAAGAATTCATTAGTAGCAATGGAAGAATTTAAGTTATTTTCACAGAGGGCAAAAATATCTGGCAACTGTTCCAAAAAGAAAGATTCTACACTGAAGAGATTGGAATGGATACCATGAATATTAGTAAAAGAAAAGCTAGGGGGTGGGGTAGGTGGTTTTTGTTTACTTGTGTTTTCCATGAGATTCGTTTTGAGGAGAGAGAGAGAAAAGACCACTGTAATTGTCACTATCTGTTGTCAATAGTAATACAAACCAGCCAGAATAGAGCATAGTGTGGCCTCAGGGTTGTCCACCGGAAATACATGCAGAAAAACCTACCCATGCCTCAATATTATGTGACTGTTGATCAGAGCAGCCTCTCTAAGTGCTACCAAAATGTTTGGCTCCTAACGACCAGTCGGAAGCAGCAGTCAGCAAACTGCCAACCCAGTACCCTCACAATGGAAAGTCACAGCCACTGGTTAGTCTGATCAGCAAAATATTAAGACAGTTAAATCTCTATGGCACTGGTAGAAGAAAGAAAGAGAATCAGTAATCCATATCCTGAACAAGAAACAAGGGATGAACCTTATCCTTTTTAGTACTGCTCAGTTAATTGCATGTCTTGTTTGTATTGCTTACTCAGTCAAAAGATTGAATTCATGATGTTCAATAAACAATGCTTTAATCCACTTTTGTTTGACTGTAAATTTGTAAATATAAATAACTTCTGACCTAAGAAATTCACATATTCATAAAGTTTTAAAGACACTAAGGATATCATGGAATGAGCGTGTGAGCAACGATGAGGTTTTGGAGAAGATGCAAACAAGGAGGAAGCTTATATTTAACATCAGGTAGGGGTGGCTGAAATTTCTGAGACACATAATGAGAAAGGAGGGCTTGGTGAATCTGATACTCACAGGTTGAATAGAGGGAAAGAGAGACAAGAGAAAGCAATGCATGATATGCCTAGTGGGCTTAAGCAAGTCGATGAAAGAAAATAGCCTGGGAGAAGTAGCAAAGGAATAAAATTTATTGAGAACTACAAGGGATAGGGGAAGGGGAGAGTCATTATTGCTTATGTCCTGAAGGGACACGGCACATAAAAAGAAAAGAATTCTTTGATGACCAAAGTTGAATGCCATTATCTAATGTCCTCATCTTTGTTGTTATTATCACAATGTTTTGGCTGTTGTGCCCTCCAGCCTTCTTCAAGTGCCTGTTGATCTGAGTAACATTCAGGGAATTTCAGACTGAACACTTTATTAAATCTATGGCATAGACTGTTCTCTATCTGCTGTCCTCTGAGTTTTTTCTCAATTACTACGCTTCATAAA